GTAGAGGAGGCAGAGTGAATGAAGCTTTGCCATTTCAGACCTCAAGGGAATTAAATTAGGCATTATTCCTAACTTGATGAAGAAACACATATACTTCATTGATTTAAAAACTAAAGTAATCCCTATTCTTTCACACTGCTGATCCCCTCATCATTTTCTTCTTTCTGTTCTAGTAGGGCAGAAAAAGTCAAAGTAGCAACACCTGCCTTCTGTACCACTCACAATTGTGAAACGTTCTTTCAAGTTTTAATGGCAAAAATGCTATTCTACCCAGAGAACAAGCTGGTCTGTATAGATGGTCTACATACATATTTCTTTTAAGTGATACTCAAAAAATCATTTTAGAAATCCCCAGGCCTACACAGGGTCCCAATCAAAGATGGAACCAGTTGTCAAAGATAATTGTCCATAACATTCTCAACAGATTACTCCATGGCAGTTCAATAACATACAAAAGAGGTAAAGTGTTCTTTGTAACCGAGAAAATAGAAAGAAATTAAGTATAACCAAGCTATTTTAAATGCATGACATGCAGATAAGCCACAAAGAAACACAGAAATGACAGAAAGTAAACAGAAAAGCAAAAGACAAAATTATTTGTATTCATGGTAACAATCATGTATTCTTTGTACTCATAGAAGCCATGTGAATAAAAAATGGGAACCGAGAAGGAAATGATCCTAAACAAGTTAACAGTCATGTCAGAATGAAGAGATCAATGTTTTCTCTATTTTCTAATTTTCTGTAGCAAAATTACATAATATTTCTGTAACAAAATAATAATGATGCTATTTAAAACACTTATCCAGCACTTGCAAACATTAAGCACAGTCACAAAAATAAATTTACTTAATCTTCATAACATAAAAGTATTATCCCAATTTTATAGTCAAGAAACTAAGGTGGCTTGCCCTTTTATAAAGGCAGTTAAAAGTTTATACTAGAATTGGTCACAGACACTCAACAGAAAATTAGCTTAAAGCTGGATTAGAAAAGCTGTTTTCTGCAATCACTACTTAAAAGCACCTTACAACTTTGTCATTGTTAGGTGCTGACTAGTTAATTTCAACTCACAGCAACCCCATGTGACAGAGTACAGATAGATGTTCCATGTGGCTTTCGTGGCTGTAATCCTTACAAAAGAAGCAGAACACTAGGTCACTTTCTCTCACTGAATGGCTGGGTTTGAGCCGTCAACCTTTCAGGTAATGGTCAAGCACCGACTTGGTTTACATTACCAGGGCTCCGTTGTAACTTGCTTTCACGTCAATTCAAACTCATAGTAACCCTACAGGTCAGAGTGTAACTACCCCACAGAGTTTGCTAGGCTGTAATTCTGAAGGGAGCAGATCACCAAGTCTTTTCTTCAGTGGGATTTTGAACCACTGACCTCTCTTTGGGTTAGAAGCTGATTGCTTAATCACGGTACCATCAGGACTCCTTATACGTAAAGTTATGTTGTTTTTAAGTGCTGTCAAGTTGGTTCTCACTCAAGCAACACTGTATAGGGTTTCTGAGGAGCAGCAGGTCTGACCTTGTGGTCAGCAGTCCAGTGTGTATCCTACAGCACCATACCAGGACTCCCCTTATACCTATACCTATACTGTTTTTGTTAAGGTGCTGATGAATCGATTCAGACTCGTAGCAATCCTGTATAGGATTTTAGAGGAGCAGCTGGAGGGTTTGAACCACTGATCTTCAGTTAGCAGTCCAGTGATTATCCCACAGAGCAACACCAGGACTCCTATCTCAACTAGCACCTAATTAAAAACAAAAAATTAAACAAACAAAAACCACCCAGAAAGGAACAGAGGAAAGATCTGCCTTAAAATAAAACAATAAAATATCTGTAAATTTTCTTCTAACACAATGCACTATGGCATTTTTAGCCTACTGGATTCTTATGTCAAGAAATAAAATGACCCTATTTGATATTCATTATTATTAATCTCAAATGAATTCATTTAATTATTAGTTCCTAGTGCTGTTATAACGGGAATACCACAAGTGGATGGCTTTAACCAAAAGAAGTGTATTCTCTCACTGTTTAGGAGGCTGGAAGTCTGAGTTCAAAGCACCGGCTCTAGACAAAAGGTTTCCCTCTTTCAGCTTTGGAGAAAGGTCTGTCTCCTTTCAACATCTGTTTGCCAGGCATTCCTTGAAGATATAAATGTGTCTTGGCAGCAATTTTCCCTTGGGTCTATTTAGATCTTAGCACAGGGACTCATGCTTCTTTCTTGATAGTAGCAGGACCCTCCAATCTCTGTTCCCTTGTTCAATCTCTTATATCTCAAAAGAAAATGAATCAAAATATAACCTAATCCTATAGATTGTACCCTGCCTCAATAACTGCCTCTGATCCTGCCTTGTTAACAACATAACATGGTGGTTGTTGGTTATCTGCCATGGAGTTGGTTCCAACTCATAGCAACCCTGTATAGGGTTTCCGAGGCTATAAATCTTTACTGGAGCAGAAAGCCTCATCTCTCTGATGCAGAAGAGCTGGTAGTTTCGAACCGATTACCTTGATATTAGCAGCCCAATACTCCCTAATAGTTCCTAAAAAAATTTTTGCAAAGGCTACATAGGGTGGTAGAAATAGTATTAGACCATAGTCAGGAGTTCTGGGTCCCCATTTTCTTATGTGTAAGACTAAGACAGGGTCGCTATGGGTTGGAACCGACTCAACAGCACTTATCAACAACAACAAGACTAAGAAGTTGGACAACATTACCTTTCAAGATCCTCCTAGCTGCAAAATTCCTTAAGACACAAAACAAAACCATAGTTGCTGTTGATAATGACTTCAATGAGACCTGAATCTGAAAGGGGGTGTGAGGCACTGTTAGCGCCATCAATAAATAATGGTTCAACAAATTTTACTTATTTCACCCCAAAATGCTGCAAATTATGCTTAATGTCTGCATCTCTTCAGGGACAGGAAGAAAGGAACACAAAGCAAATTGGAAGAATTTTTGTTAAGCACTGTTGAATCAGCTCTGACTCAGTGAAATTGTATAGGGTTTCCAAGGAGTGGTTGGTGTGTTTGAACTGCCAACCTTGTGGTTCACAGGCCAGTGCTGATCCTACCAGGAGTTCTTAATCCCTTATATTTTAGAGTTTCAAAATATGCAGTTTTTACAGTACTCTAAAATTTGAACATCTCTAAGTTGTAAAAACTCAAGCTAAAATATGCATGAGGACATGAATTAGTAACATGTGCAAATGAAAGCAGTCATGACAGCATGTACAACTATGAACAGGATTTGTCAGCAAAAAAATTTTTTTTTCCAGAAAACATTGCTCTATTCTTTCTTCAGTAATTATCAGACAAGACTGATGATCCCTGTTTTCACATAAATCATAACTGGGCAATGGTTCCCAAATGTGGTATAGTCCACTCACTACTGTCAAAGTCAATTCTGACTTATAACTAGGACAGAGGAGAATTGCTCCCTGTAGTTTCCTGTAAATCTTGAAGGAAGCAGACTGCTTTATCTTTCTCCTGCAGAGAAGCTGGTGGGTTTGAACCACCAGTGCTTAGGTTAGCTGCCCAACACTTAACCCTTGGCATCTCCAGGACTCCTCTACATATGATATATCAAGCTTAAAATGGTCACCTCTCCAGAGATATGATGGGCTCTAGCAACATATCCTTTCTAGCAGGCTTACATTTTTCATTCAATGTGGGTGCCCCTCTGCCAAACAGTTTTGGAACATACTGATTCAATTTCTATTTCTTAGAATTGTGTTCCACTAAAATACATTTTGCAGTTCAAATGGAATTTTAAAATGACCTTTCTTTCATACATTTAGTGTTAATGTTAGCTTCTTTATTTTATTTATTCAGACTCTCATCAATTGTCAGTGTACCTAAAATTCCATTTCTTCTTCAATGTGTCTTTGAAAAAAATCAATTCAACGTAAAAATTTATTGATCATTGGTTTCAATAATGTGCAATTTTTTGAGGCAGATCATCCAATAAACAATTTGCTTGCCAAATATTTAAATATACACACATTTACTGAACAGGATATTCTGCTGATTTGGGAACTGGCCTTCTACTAAGTTAAACACATTTGTTGCTGATGCTATGTGCCATCGAGTAGATTCAAACACACAGTGACCCTATAGGACAAAGTAGAGTTGCCATGTAGGATTTTCTAAGCTATAATCTTTACAGGAACAGATCAACTGTGGAGCAGTTGGTGTGTTCAAACCGCCAATCTTTTGCTTAGTAATTGAACACTTAATTACTTCATCACCAGGACTCCTCTTAAGCACTTTTAAACACCTATAAATTCAAAGGGGGAAAAGAAAAACTTCTCTATGTCCCAAAACTAAATCCTAGAGTTGAAAGTTCCTTTAGTTTTAAACCAGCACATTATCCATCACATCATAGGAAATCAAGTAAGATAAATTGATCTTTTTGAGGACTTTACACTGCTTAATGATAGGTGTGCTGTCAAAATAATCAGCTTTTTTAAAAAAAGGAATAGCTTTAACCTTCCTATGGAACTGCTTAGTGAACTCAGTCTCCCTTCATTAAGTTCATGACAGTTCAATGTCTCACATCTGCCACTGCTGGAGAGACTAATTCCAACAACATAAATTGCTTCAAGGACTAGACAACAAATTTATTCTGGTTTGTGGAACAGATCTGAACCCATTTGTTTTCTAATCAAAAGCCTTATTTTGAATCAGTTTTGTTCCATCATAGTACCATACTAATGGGCGCAATACAATATTACGGTATTGTCCTCCTTTCTACCCATACAGTACAGATGATTATGGGGAACACAGATCAATTAATGGCATGAGAGCAGTCTTAGAAATAAGGTCTTTGCAGACTGTAGGATCTGCTATCTTTCCCATCTTTAATCTGTTTATTCTTTAGACCACTATGATTACTGTTCCTTTGAGTGAGGAGTTCTTCTGAAATTACAGAGGAAAAAAAAAACGGGGTGCAGAGATTCTCTTGTTATAATAAGCAGCTTACCTTAATCTTTTTTTAAGTTGTATACTGTCATGGATGATTCTTTTAACAAACTCCAATTCACCTCCTTCTGCCATGATCTCTGTGATACCTCCGGTATTGACAGAACTAGGTGGAGGTCTTCGAGGATTTCGAGAGTTCACACCCTGAACAACAACAAAAAGGATCTGGTGAAAAATGTTTATACTTTTAAGAATCAAGTCTTTGAATGTAGTTTTAACTAACAATATTATATGTGCTTTTACTTCCAAATATCATACTAGACTTAGGATTTTAATGTCTTATAGCCACTGCAACATCATATTTTAAACAACTACATTTATGCAAGTATTCCTTCCATCTTTGTAACTAAACATACAAAAATCTACCTTTTTAACGTAGTCTAATAAGAAGCTCTGGTAGCGGAGTGGCTACGAATCGGGCTGTGAACCTCAAGGTCAGCAGTTTAAAAATACCAGCTGTTCCGTGGGAGAAAGATGAGGCTCTCTGCTCTCATAAAGATTTACAGCCTTGGAAACCCTGGGTCGCTATGAGTCGGAACCGACTCCACAACACAAAACAACAACAATCTGTCACTGAGGAAACCAAAGTGATAAGAATTTCAGACACTTGGGAACAATCAGCCCAATGAACTAATATGCCACATGAATATCAGTCTCCACATCCTGAGACCAGAAGAACTAAATGGTGCCTGACTACCACTACCAACTACTCTGAAAGGCATCATAGCAGCAGGTCTTAGATAAAGTGGGAGAAAATGTGGAACAAACTTCAAAATCTTAAAAAATACCATGCTTACTGCGCAGATAAGAATGCTGGGACCTGAGACTATGGTCCTCAGTCACCATTCAGGTCTGAAATCACCCCGTGGCTCAATTTTCAGTTAATCAATAGATTAGGGGGGACAACTACACTAGTGAAGTACACACACCGTAGAATACTGGTCAACTATTTGAGACTAGAAGGGTAGCATCTACCTATGGACAAACAAAATTCAGAAGGGTTCAGAAAGGAGGAATGGAAACAAGAAACACAGGGAGGATGAAACAAAGTATATGATTCACTGAATGTAAAACTGATGATGTGCTCTGTAAACTTGAACTCAACAAACTTTCACAATAAAAACTAAAGAATAAAAAAGAAAGAAAGAAACACAAGGAGGAAGTGGGATGAGTGATATTACACTGAAGGGATTGAAATCACTGAGATGAACCCAAGTGTCTAATTTGTTGAATGTAAAACTGATAATCTGTGCTTTAAACTTTCACTCAATTCAAAATAAAAAGTTAAAAAAAAAAAAGGGGGGGAATGGCAAAGGGCTTAAACAGACACTTCTAGGAGTAAAGAGTCAATAAACACATGAAAAGATGCTCAACATTATTAAACCCAGTTGCCACTGAGTCAATTCAGACACATGGTAACCTCATGTGTGTTAGAACAGAACATACTAAACATTGTTTTTAAGTGCTGTCAGTTAGTTTCAATTCATAGCAACTTTGTATAGGGTTTCCAAGGAGAAGCTAGTGGGGTTGAACTGCCAACCTTGCTATTAGCAGTCCAGTGCTTACTCTACACGCGGTCTCTACTAGTCATTAGGGAAATGCAAATCAAAACCACAGTGAGATATCCTTTACAAACTGAAAGCTACTTTCCTGGCTTCCCCTCACTGCTGTCTCTATCTTTTGATAAAAGACAGTCTAATCCCAAAAGATCTAATTCCTACCCAGTCACCCCAGAGGTGGAAGGCTTTAGGAGCAGTGTTTATTGGGCAGTGTGCTAAGCTTGTGCAGAAGAGGTCCTTAAAATCCTTAGAAACCACTTGTTGTTGTATGCTATCAAGTAGGTTTAGACTCATAGCAACCCTGCATAGTTTCCAAGAGTAGCTTGGTGGGCTTGAACTACCAACCTTGTGGTTAGCAGTCCAATGTCACCCTACAGTACCATACCAGCACTAAGATGGCTACAATAAAAGAAACAGATAACAAGTGCTCACAAGGATGTGGAGAAAATTATCACATCCATACACTACTGGAAGTAATAAAATGGTCCAACCATTTTGGAAAACAGCCTGACTGTTGGGAGTTATCATTTGATCTCGTAGTTCCAAACAAACAAATGTCCACACAAAACCTTGCACACAAATGTTTAAAGCAGCATCCCTTACATCAGGCAAACAGTGGAAACAACCTAAATGTCCATCAACATTTAACTGAGTAAAATGTGGTATATATCCATACAATTAATTAACAGCAGAAAAATACCAGTACCAAAAAATGCTACCAAATGGATGAACCTATAAAACATTATGCTATTTGAAAGACTCCAGTCACAAAAGACCACATTATATATGATTCTACTTATATGATACATCCATGATAAACAAATCTATAGGAAGTACACTGGTGGTAGTCTAGGGCTAGGAACATTGAAGGGAAATAGGGAACAACTGATAATGGGTATGGGGTTTCCTTCTCCCCCAAAAACCCACACACACAAAAAAACAGAACATTGTCAGAGTCCATCTTGAATTAGTGGTTTTGTAAGACAGAATAGAACTGGCCCATAGAGTTTTCAGGGCTGTAAACCTTTATGGGGGCTGACTGCCACATCTTTTTCCTGTGGAGTGATTGGTAAGTTCAAATGGCCAACCATCTGATTAGCAGCCAAGCACCTTACCACTGTGCCACCAAGTCTCCTTAAGGGGTTTTCCTCAGAATGCTGAAGTGTTTTAAATTGATTGATTGTGGTGATAATTACATAACTTAAAATAAATGTATATATAAATTTATATTTATAATATAAATGGTGAATTGTATCATATGTGAATTACATCTCAACAAAGCTATATAAAAAGTATTTAGTTGTGAGGTACCAATAATGTCCCATTTCTTCATCTGGATGCTGGTTCCACAGAAATGTTCACTTTGGAAAATTCATAGCCTACATTTTATTACATGTGTAATTTTACGTAAACATAAGGGTTCCACAAAAGCGACAGTTCAAACCCACCAGCTGCTCCTCAGAAACCCTACATAGGGTCGCTGTGGAATAGGAACCAACTTGATGGTGCTTAACAAG